CATACATACATGCATACATACATACATGCATACATATATTTACTGATACATATACATACACATACACATACACATACACATACACATACACATACACATACACATACACATACACATACACATATACACACACACATACGCATACACATACATCTACATCTACATCTACATCTACATCTACATCTACATCTACATCTACATCTACATATACACACACACATATATATATATAATATGCATATATACATATATCTGAGTGGCACTTTACTACAGTTGACCCTTGCGGAGCGCATGGATGATGAGCGAGGCAGGGGTTAATGGTGTTTAGGGGCCGCGTCGAAAGCAACAGCTTTCCAACCGTGCCTCATCTCAGCATGCAGTACCGCACCCAGAAACAAGACCAGGGCGCATGTGTGCGCGGCAGCACTGCGAGAGCGCCGCCCTTGAGAGACCAGTGCAACGTCGCGAAGGGGGAAAGGAAGGGGAAAGGTGTCCGCCTCGCTCCTTTCTCTGTGGCGAAGGTGAAGAGACATGCTGGCGCATTCGGGCTCTTTAAAAAGCCGCTTCTGCATGGGAGCAGAGGAGGAAGAGAGCTGCAGATACAGGATTTGGAGCCCAGTCAGCAGCTCTCACAGCTCGACGAGGATTTCAGTCATCTGGCGCAGCCTCGCACTGACTGGCGTGATCAAGCGAACATGATCGGACTGCAGGGGCACTTGTGCTCTCGTAGCACTTCTACCATGCGCTTGCAGGCAAAGGTGATTTTCGCAGAGTCAAAGACCGCTCTGCTTTTAACCGAAGCCCAAGCCACAAGCATAAGCATGTCGGCGGCCAGGTGAAGCTCGTGATGAAGGAGGGACAGGCCCCACATGACACTGCTTGACTCTGCAATCGGTGCGGGTACGCACGATTCGGAATGTGATTCCTGCAGATGATGTGTTCGGTGAATATGTCAACAATTAATTCTCAGGTAGTGCTCCTGGATGGGTCGCACAAGATGTGTATTTCACTCTTAGCAGCACCTGACTGACACGAAAGCTTCTGTTCGGGCGCCGTGCCGGCAACCAATACAGCACACATCGCAAATGCAAGGAAGTTTGTTGCATAGGGAGTTTCGGCAACAGTATACCGTCTACTTGACGAACGGGCATACAAGATCTTCGCTGGAGCGTGGGAACACCCAGAACTTAGACAGAGACTTTCTAGGGCTCTCGGAATCGTAGAAGGTTGTAATGATTGTCATGTGCTAGAGACATTGCATTGTTTTGGAAATACTGATTTTTCAGATTTAAAGAGTCTGGCACTTCGGGAACACCGAAAACTTGGAGCAAATTTGTTGGACAAGCTACTTCGGGAAAGACAGGCAACTCCAGGTTTTAGGGCGGTAGTTGGAACAGTTAATGTGGAGATATGGAAGCTCAGTGCTAGCACTGTACACTTTGGAATGTTGTTCCTTTGGATGCAGCATGTTGTTCGGTCTCAACCCGTCCCATGACAAGTAGCCATGTTCACAAGCACGGTCCTGCCTACAGATAGCACCATGCAGTGTACAGGGTTTCAGAAAAACGGCGCGGTCACTCTGGGCCTGCGGCATGAGATCATGTTCGAGCCAAGACATTATGTCTCCGGGGTTCTGTCTGCGTGTACTCTGTGCAACTCCTTCACGATCCTGACTCTGTAGCACTTGGGACTGCGTATTGTCGGACCTCTTCTTGAGGCTGCCGCAGAAGCCAATGCCCGCCGTGTGGGAGCTCTCCTCGAGCGCCTGGAAGCGCTCCAAGTTCCTTGGCTCCGATTGAAGCGCTTGCAGTGCTTTCAAGATGATGCTCCCGTTTTGCGCGAAGCCGCGAAGCATGCCCTGCCCTGGATTCGTTGAACTTAAAGACTCCATCTATTTAAAGTCGCCGAGGTCGTTAAGGCAAGCTAGTCAAGCAGATGGAATCTAGAAGCATTTTGCATAACTACAGCATGCACATATCAGGAGCAAGTGGTCAACATGTGCTCTCGAATACCACCAAGACAGACAGCGTCGTGCTGATCGTTGTTGCAAGTGCCAGATGTTCCCTTCAAGCTGCTACCCCCTCGACCTTGAATAGGCGCATGATGTTTTTCTGCCGCGCCCGTCCAGCGTCAGAATTTGTTTGGCTCCGAAGCACTTCATTAAGTATCGCTGGCGGCCTGCCCAATCAGATCTTGGCCGGCTTTGCCCAACCTCGAAAAGGCGATCCCCCATCTTAGTATTGCATGATCTACTACATTGCACGACCCCTTCTTCATTTTCATTTTTCTCAGAGTGCTGCCATGGTATTGTCCTTGCTCCTAGCGACCCTGGCGTTGTTCTGCCTTGCGCCTGGGAGCCTGCGCGCGGCCAGGGACGAGAAGGCCACTTCCATTCAGTACACGAGTCGCAAAAAGGATGGCGCGGTCTAGCACGGTATAGTCAGACATCGTGGGATAGAGAGCATGAGTCACAATAGCCCGGTGCGAAGATTGTGCGAAGCACGACGGGTAGCCTTCTGATAGAGCAGGACCTGGACCTGAAGTGTTGCGTCTTCAGGGAGAGGCCCAAGCATGGGACGACGTTAGGGCTAGCTGCAGTGTAAGCATCCCTCAGGACGGACATGTGATCATCAAACGTTCGAATGTTGCGGCAACGTCTTATCGCTATCTCAGCCTAACTGTGCTCTCTCTCTCTCTCTCTGTGTTGTGCTGCTTCTCGATTTCAATGCCACTCTGTCACTGTCTCCAGTAAAATGGGCTGCCGGCGGCTGAGAGACAGAGTAACGGATGGGACTGCAACTGAACGGAAGCATCACCTAGACTTGGGTTGCAGCAGACCCTCCCCTTGCAATTGTTACGGCCGTGAATGATTGTGATGATAGCTCCAGGAAGCGCATCATGCACAAAGTGATGAAGAGCGACCCATGCAAACAAATCTGAAGTATCCATGACGAACACCCAAATCCCATGGCCGCACGTCGTTTGGTGATGTTTGCATCCAAAAGGCTTCCAACGCATGTCCACTCTCCGACTGGCGGTGATGACTGCCGGAATGTCGATCAACATCTGTGTCATCAGTCTCCTCCCGGGGTAGATGCTGCGGGCCGCTGTTCGGGTGCTTTTTTGCTTTGTTGGAGGGCGGGAGGCGGGACACCCTGCATCCCTGATCGCAAACATATCCCTCGTCAAACAGCTGCCGCGCTTGGGTTCCGCTTCGTCTTGCAACGAAAACAGCGGGAGTTCCGAAGCCCTGCTCGATCGTTCAGGATGCTGAACCCTTGCAGCTGCTCCAGAAGATGCAGAAAAAGCGAGGGCAGGCCGGAGCTTCCCACGATGAAACCTTATGGCATATGGCCTATGACGACTCAATGTCAGCCATATTGCCACTGAAATGTTGTCGTCGTTGGTACATGAGATGTTAATATTCATTTTGTCTATATATGCATAGATGTATGCTTGTATGCATAGGTACATTAGAACTATTACTTATTTTGGTGTGTATATATATATATGTATATATATATGTGTGTGTAAATGTATACATTACAGATACGTGTGCATAGGTCATCAGCCGATTCCTTGTTACTTCTATGGTGCAGCAGAAAGCCATCTTGAATACCGGGCTCATTTCAGACTCGTAGCCAGTCGAACGGGCAGGCGAGACCTCTCTCATACATCAACCCTTGCGCTTGACATCCTGAAAAGTTCATCTCTGATCGCAACGAATTTCAGTCTTGCCTACTGCCTGGACACGATGAAGCACGAGCATGGGTCAAGATTTGTGGAGCCGACCTGTCAGACATGACAAGGAGCCCGTGCCGCCTGCTGGCGCGATCAGCGAGATTCTCGTTCAGAAGAAGCCGTCCGGAGGGCTGTTCATGGTGTTCCGCTTCCCGCTGAGCTTCAACTCCCACGTGCCCAGGTCACGCAAAATAGCCGAATAGCCTATCTGGGTCTGCCTGCAACCACAGACCCAACAAAGCTCCAGATTTTATGACCCCCGAAGCTTTCCTAGATCTAGAGCTCAAGAGCTGAAGCAGAGGTGCTGTACTGGCGGCGCTTTGGTGTTGATGTGCCAGCAGACATTGGTCGCTGTCAGAGCTCCGGCTGTCCAGTCCTGGTGGATTTCCCTGGCTCAGGCCGGACAAGAGGGCTGAATTATGTAGCAGTTAGTAGGTGAGGGAACTCGCGAGCTCGTTTCGCCAGGCGGCTCCATTTACTCACAGCGCGGCTGGACACAGTGGTATGCCTATCAAGATCAGCTGGAAAGTGAGCCTTTTCTGCTGGTGACCATGGAGGGTTCCCCTGACGCGGTGGTTCCTGAGCAGGAGATCTTGCCATGCAGCCCTGAGCAAAGTCCTCAGGAGTGTGCAGATGAGTCGTCTGGGGGAGATGGCTACACCTCCTGGAACGTCTTAGGATGGGGTGTGCCTACCGACTTGCAAACAGATCCAAACAGTTCACTTCTCTCTGCCTGTTTCCCTGCGGCCGTAAAGCCCTGGAACTCTTACCAGTGCTTCGCGACGCACCTGCTCAACAATCCGAACGCCTGCCACAAGGCAGGGCTTCAAGACGGTGTAGATGCAGACAGCAGGGAGAGCGGAGAAATCACAGCAACATGAGAAGCGAAGCATTTGATCATTTGGGGGAAAGGATAATTTAATATCGAATGCATGAGGTGTCCGAGGCCAATCAGAAAGCGTGGTCCGCATTCAGCCAGACTCTTCGTCTTGTCCAGCACCATTCTTTTTGTACTTTTTCTCTCCCGGTGTATCGAGACTGCTTGTGGCCGCAATCAACACATTCGGCATCATGTACTGTGGGTACAT